ATTAAAACAGAATGCTTGAGAAAATTGTTGACTTCGCTGAATGTCGAAAAGCATCAATGACTGATCCATTAATCCAACTTATTTTCTTCCACTAAACAAAATACAATTTCTTTGGTATCAGTTCTGTGGTCATACAAGGTTTTGTATGTTCAACATTAATGTCAGTTCATTGAACCCCTCAAATATTGTTTGTGCAAATTTTAAGAAAAGCTCTGGTAAATAGTTTTTTTTTTTTAAATTTTATTATATATATATATATATATATCATACTTTTATAAGCTTTTATTTAGTTCATTCATGGTCTTTTACTGTGAGTGGAATTTTTTCATCGGTTTGTAACTTACTTTCTGATAAGCTATTGATTTAAATTTTATACACACTGTGTCGAGGATAATGAAATGTGGTGAGGCTTTCTCCCCCCCCCCAAAAAAAAATTCAATTTAGTTTTTCTTTTTTAATTTAACGTTTAACCGATTTTTCGCACCTATCTTTGTTTAATGAACAAACTAAGTATACGAGAATTTCACTGTTTGCATCATCCAACAGAGCGGATAAAAGTCGTTTGAATAAAGTTTGTATAAAAATCGTAACTTAGTTTCTGAATGTTTGAAAATCGCTCAAATTTTTGGACTATTTGATATTAATGTCGTAAAGTCATTAGGTTTTTTTGGGGGGAGGAAGCAAGAATATGGTTTTCGACGGCCATGTGGCTACTTCGCCAGGATATGAGTGTTATATTATTTTTCTTAGTTTTGTAATGTTAAATTTTAATAATAACAAATTATTGTTGACAACTTTTTATCGAGAACTCCTTGTCAAAGTTCGCATTGTTGATCAGTTGTTAGAATTCGACCACCATTGTTTGGACTTATTCGCATTGGCAATGACGAAAACATTTTGTAACTGTCTGTCAGACGATTTACTAAAAAACGACAGCAATCTACTAAAAGAATTCATTCAAATGAGAAATATGCCAAAGAATAAAATAATACGATACGTAATTTTATTTTATTCTTTAAACAAAGAAAGATTCAAAGAAAAAGTGTTCAGTTAGTTAAAAGAAAAAGTTATTCAAAAAAACAAGTGATGTGAACCAATCAGCTATTCAGATGATTTAGATGCGTAATTTATTTATTTCATAAACACATATTTTTTTTTTAATTTATCAGACAATACTCTTATTATTTATATTTTATAGTGGTGGCAAAAGGTTTATAGTGGCGTCTACCTTGAAAGTGAGGCTTACAACTTACGTTACGGCAAATTCAGAGGAAAAATAATACAAGTTAGTATTGTTATTATTTAGAAGGAAATATAGGATTAAAATTAAGATAATTTTTAAAATATAGCTACTTTATAACAAAAAAATTAATTTAATTTTTAAACTAACAAAAAATATATTTATGTAATTATGTACCTACTTGCTTAAGGTGACCGGATTTTAACATTGCTAAAGCAGGACACCATTTACAGGGGGGGGGTCGGATTCTTGATTAAAAATTTGGTTTATATGAAGCAACACAAATTTCATAGAATGCAAAAATAGTATTGTAATACATATTTTTTAATTTCAACATACTTACAATTTACAAATATAATACATTAAAAAATTACTTATCGTATTATTTTATTCTTTGGCATATTTCTCATTTGAGTGATTTCTTTTAGTAGATTGCTGTCGTTTTTTGTTGAATAACTTTTGGAAGACTTGTGATGTACAAGATCTGAACGAATGAATGTGATTATTAGCATGAAAAGACATAAGTCCTTCTGTACTAATGCTAATTTCTTTTCTTTGTCTCCATAAATTGATTCCCGACAGAATTCCAGCATTTTGGAGAAAGATGCAGTAGTATTTAAACAGAGGATGCAAATTCAAAGAGGATCTAAGAAGTGAATTTCCTTTTCTTAAAAAAAAAAAAAAAAAAAAAAAAAAAAGCTATTACATGGTAAAATGTGAAAACTATAATGGTGAATTTTGTATTTCGTCCGGATGGAAAAATGATATTTCAAAGCACTCGGGAAACAAAAGATAAACAAAAACAGAACAGAAACAAAAGATATTTAAATACTACTGCATCTTCATCCAAAATGCTGAAATTCTTTCAGAAATCAATTTATGGAGACGAAGAAAAGAAATTAGGAAGGACTTATGTTATTTCATGCTAATAATCACATTCATTCGTTCAGATCTTGTACATCACAAGCTTTCCAAAAGTTATTCAACAAAAAAGGACAGCAATCTACTAAAAGAATTCACTTAAATGAGATATATGCCAAAGAATAAAATGATACCATACATAATTTTTTAATGTATTATATTTGTAAATTGTACGTATGTTGAAATTTAAAAATATATATTACAATACTATTTTTGCATTCTATGAAATTTGTGTTGCTCCATATAGACCAAATTTTTAATCAAGAATCCCCCGTCCCCACACCCCCGGTAAATGGTGTCACACTTTACCAACGTTAAAATCTGGTCACCTTATGTGTGATACACACCAACACCCGTGGACGAAAAACTTTTTTCTGCCAGAGCATTCGATCATCTAATGATAAGCAGTTTAGTGGATATGGCGAAAACATTCATTTCCTGTTGAGGCATTTGAAATTATCATGCAATATAAGCATGGCATGGTGAAAGGCAGTTAAAGCATGGCAAATAGTGAAAATGGCAATTCATTCGTAAGCTGAGTCAGGACAGCAATTTAGGCATAATTGCGCATTTTTCCTGTAGAAACTTGTGAAAGTACATTCCTTAGATAAGCAAAGTTCATAAAGCGAAGGCATAAATCCAAAGAGATGCAACAATTTGGTGATGTGCGATCATAATGAAAAGCACAGAGATAAAGCGTTCATGTATGCTGTAAGGAGCGAGAAAATACCTTATATACTCCTCCTTTTAAATTATTGTCTATCTTTTAGTTTGGGCGCCCTGTAGAATCATTAGCTGTTTTTTCCCCCCTTACCCTCTGTATGCGTGTGTGTCTGTAGCAGGAGACCTGAAAGATGAGCAACGCCCTCGCCGAAACTCAAATCACAAATATGTAAATAAAGAAAAGAAAAAAAATCGTTTAAATACTGTTTATTTTACAAAATTTTCCATTATTCAATGTACAATATTTCACACTTATCAGATTCATAAAGCTCAAAACACATACAGCAATAGTGCTTCTAATTCCATTTAAACCGCAAAATTAATTTGCACAAGCTGACTAGCTATTACAAAAGAAACACCAGCAAACATAGGAACATCATAAAAATATATATACAAAAGTAAAAATGTGAAGCAATAAGTGAAAAGAAATTTAAAAAAAAAAATAATGCAAGCATCGTACTGTGTTTGTACTAAATACAGATCATAAATTTAATTTTATAGAGGAAGAAAAAAGTGAAAAAGTCACATGATAGTTGGAAATTGGAAAATACTATTTTCAAAGTAAATACCTTATAAAATATACTTATATGCTTGCCTTACGCATTGTGTAAGAAGAAAAAAAATATATTTTTTCCTTTCTACTGGCTGATTTCTGATGGCTGATTTCTATAATTTAATTTGCATGCCATTTCTTAAAATTTATTTTTCATGTCTCGAAAGCGCGACTTATTATAATATATAAATATAATACATATCCTATATATAGCATTGTTCTAACAATATATTATATATAACAATATATTATTTCCATAGAAAGTCGGACTTTTTTCTGAAATGACATACTTATATTTTGATTCTAGATTGTAAGCAAATATTTTATAAAATTTGGTGAGAAATTTAAAAATTTATCTTGGCGCCCTTTTTTCAGCTTGCGCCAAGAATAATTCACTTAGCGAAATTCTTAATTTATGCTAACTTATTTTCCTTTCCCTTTCATTCTGGAAAAACAGGGGGGTGGGGGAATCACTCATTCCTTCAAATAGTTTTAACAAAGTACATAAACCACATTTGGTGTTATTATCTCTTTAATCAAATATGCCAAATTTCCAAATGCGCCAATATATAAAGTCACGCATATGTTGGAAAATTTTGAATAAAAGCTCTAATTTTTTGCAGGTATGGCTAGAAGTACATTAACGTGATCGTAAAAATTTTATAGGTCATATTCCAAATTTCTTTAAAAAAATTTTTAAAAATGACTAAAATATACAAACTTTAAAAATAAATCAGAAAATATCTGCATTTGGACTGAACCTAAATTTCGAATTGCGAAAAAAGGAATCAATTAAGTTTAATTAAAAAAAAAAGATATTAGTAAATATATTCCAAATTCAATTAACATTGAGAATCTAAAATTTGGAAAGCTGTCTTTTTAGAAACTAATCTTGCGATTTTTACAAAACTTGGCAATTTGGCTTAATTTGAGTCCTAGAAAAGAAATATGGAAAACAATTGCTATGTCATTTCAGAAAAGTCCGATTTTATATCAAATACCAATGTTAGAAAAATGCTATATATAAGTATAATATACACTGAACATTCACGAACATGATTCCTTTATTATATTTGTCTTCTGTATGCGAATCCCTTCCATTTCACTCTATGTTCATAAATAAAGTTTTTCTCCTCATTCTAAGTGTGAGTACATTTTTTTGATACATCCTGTATATCCTAAGTCACACTTTTAAGCTAGAAGAAACATAAGTTAAATTTCTTCACTTGGCCCATTTGAACGGGAGATACACAGCTATTAGGTTTTTTTTTTTTTTTTTTTTTTTTTTTTTTTTTTTCGGGGTGGGGGGGTTAGTGTTCATATACATATATCAAATACATATACATTAACCATGCTAGAATAATGGGAAAACACTTAATACATGGATATAATATATATTTCCTGAAATTTGTTATATTAGCTTAATAAAGAAATATTAATAAAATAATTAAAATTTGAAGCTAATGGACTTAAAAACTAATATTTAAAATAAATTTTTCTACGGAGTTTTTAATATACAATATTTGAATTTTTTAACAGGAAATTTATTAATACATTTCTCAGTTTGTTTGTTAATACTATATTAATAAATTTAATATTTATTAATAAGTATTATTAATATAATTATTATATTAATTTTTTGCAACTACTGCGGTAAGTAAAATTTACATGAAAATGAATATCTCCATGAACTTAGAATTCCATAACAAATTCTAATTATTTGGAAATAATTCACTCAAAATTATATATTAAAATGGTTTCTAAAATTGTCATTTCAAGCAATTTCTATCTATCTAAAAGAAGTGCCATACGTTGAACACATCACTCCAATAAATAAATTGATAACCACAGTAAAACTGAATCAAAAATTGCTTAGTAATAACTTCTAATGAACACAGGTGGTGAAAAGTCTGAACATTTTCAAAAATAATTCAAAGTTTAAAAAAAAAAAAATGTTATGTAAATTGCAACCACATAGTTGCAGCACTCTCAAATACATCACTAATAGTTTTAAATGTACACACTTCCACTAGATGGCAGCACTATTCAACTGTAGAGAGCTCTGTTTAGTCTCAATTGAAAATCTTTGTAAAGCAATTTGCCACCCAGTGGCACTCGGCTGACAAACATATCCATTGTCATTAGACATAGGGCTTTACCATTCATGAGAAATCTATCCAACTGGACGGTTGGGAGACGGTGGGTGGTAGTGACGTATTGGATCCACTTGGCAACGTCCTCTCGGCTCCATTGTCTGGGATCTAGAAATAATTATAATTCGTTATTTTAAAAATATAGAAACTCAGAAGTAAAGACATTAGTAAACTTAATCCACACTGAATTCAACATTGCATTTTACTATCAGTAAAACTATGATATAATCAAAAAGTTACATTTTCAATGGAATAATACATATGAAAGAGTTTTTTTTAATGTATTAAATGAAAATAACATTATTAAAATTAAATAGTAACTATACCAAAAATGCTTCAAAAATTTCCATCAGGAAAGATAAATTTACATTTTAGAAAAAATCTGATGTGGACACCAAATGATTTCCTATAAATTGCTTCACTTCATTTAAACATATTTCCTCGAATTGTTCTTACTTATTTCACCGTTCCTCAACGGGAGTTCAAAATAAAAATAAATCAAAAATTGCAAATTTTAAAATTAAATATCCCGGTCAATTTTTATCGAACGGGAGTTAAACTCTTATTATTTTATTTTTATAACGAGTATAAAATTTTCTCAAATATAAATACATGAAGTGGGAGAACGCATTAAAAGTCAGATTTCGCTATTAGTTAAAAATTAATTGTTTTTTATATGACTAAGACCAAAGAATGCGAAAATAAAGGCCGGGTAAGGGAGTGATTATTTTGGGCCCCCTGATGCACTCAAAGCTCCTGAATCCGGGTCTCAACACCCTGCACTCCTTTTTAATCTCACCGCTACCAGATGGCGACACCTATGCTGATTTTCTTCGCCCTCTTACAGCCTCCTTACTGATGTTCTGTTCTAGGATTCACTTTCTGTATCTTCAAAGTCATGTCTTTTGGGAATTCGCTCAGGTTACTGGGAAGTACTGTTGTTTTGCAGTAGAAACCCAGTATAGCCACTACAGTATCCAAGTAGAGGATTTGGAGAATGGTCAGAATTTTCGTGTGAACTATTATAATTAAAATAAAAGTACATTGAAATGGTTCATCGGCTAAAATTTTGGATACAGGAAAGCAAGGATTTTTGTAGAAGAGAGATTTCAATTGATTTCAATGTTCCACCCACCTGACGAAGTAGCGTTGAAGTTGATTTAATTCCTCTTCTGTTATGTTCATTTTGCTTTAAATTTCATTAATTTTTTCAAATGGGATTTTGCTTGTTAGAAAAGTTTTGGTTTTAACATATCTTAAATTCGTTGTTGCATTTATAGGATTATTTGAAAGTTATTAATTATGAATTTCAATTTTCGGTCTTTGTGAAAAATTAGTTCTAAATTTCTTAGTTTATGTCTTTAATGATAGTTTTTCAACAGCTTAATGCGCGAATATACTAGGCATGTTTATATTTTGTTTTTAAAATAATTGTTTTGTAATTATATAAATATATAGAGAGAGAGATGTTTGGTACTGCCGATTGCAATGAAAAAGGGAGGTGCACAACTATATTCTAGAAGTTCCATATACAAAGTTTCAACATTTGTTTCTACGGTTAATCTTTTTTGAGTCATGCAAGATACATACGAAAAAAATCTCTTTTGAATCCATTTTACAATCCGTTTTGGAAAAGAGAGTCTTTTATTCTGTCCTTATGTAGAGTTCACACACACAAAAAAATCTTCCAAATGGATTCGGGAACGGCAAAAATGAATATTATCATTGAAATATGATACCTGAAATTTTTCGTGATGACAGTACTTCCTTTACTTGGTAAAAGGATATAAAAATCAAGGTGTGTTTCTGTGTTCTAGTACATACTACATAGGATAGGATAGTGATCTAAAACTCAGATTCCACTTGGACGAATGCTCGATTTAAATGCAGTTTGACAGGCCAGAATTTTTTTAAGCGCAGAGCCTTAGCCCAGAAGAGCTATGAGTCTAAAAATGGCATTTTGCGTCGGTTGACTATAAACAGGTATCACTTTTTAAATTGTTTCCACTACTAACTATTAGGGCCCTGCATTATATTTAAAGAAATTAAATAATGAAGAGTCTGCATGAATATATGCCTGTTTCTCAAATTGTGAAAGAAAAAGACGTTACTAGAGCCATTCAATTTTGAATAACATAGACCTCCACCAGAACATGGGAACCTGGAATTCCGAGTTTGTTTTGTTAACTTGTTCACAATTGCTACAATTTTAAGGAATTTTTGGTCAACAAACTCAACGATTTGAAAGAGAGCAGCCGCAACACTGTACGAAATAAAATATTTTTTTATTTCTGTCGAGACTGTCTGCCGGAAATTCTTAAGATATTTGCTTTTAAATATTTTGCGACATTGCTGTTGAATTGAATTTTATATGGTTTAAATGCGAAGAACGTGATATTTGATAAACAAAGACAACGCTTAAAACGTTAAAAAAACGCCCCTTTTAGGGTAATATAAAATCTGAAAGTTTTCAGTGTCTTTTTTTTAAATGGAAATTTTTTTATCAAAGAAATAAAAAAATATTTTAATTAAATTTTCAATTTCGCTTACAAATCAAAACATGCATAACATTTTGTTAGATTTATCCTTTGGGGGTAATATTAAATCTGAAAACTTTCAGATTTTATTTTATTTTATTTATTTATTTTATTTATTTATTTTATTATTTTGTTTGTTTATTGATTGTATTATTTTCTATATTAGCATATTGTAAATACTGCCTGAAATTGTTCCACTTGCTGTGTAGCTAGGTGCTCTATTTTGTACTTAAACAACTTTTAGCAGTAACCTACTGTCATCAGCATATCACCACCTGTTAAATTTTATGCGTGTCACTATGTCCTTAAATTTCGTTTAATTCTCGGGTAACTTTTTATCATCAACAATTATTTGAACCATACAATATTTCCTAATAAGCAGCTTCGATGGTGGCTGGAACTCGAGTCGGAGTTCTGTGCTAATAATCACTTCTACACAATGTGGACGATATCTTACGGTCGAAGCGTGAGAAAACGATCACAAAACAAACACCATCGACAGGCAACCATCTACCTTACCTAAATTACAATCACCCCATTGAAAAGAATAAAAGTGGACAGGTAGAACTGAAAATCATTGCACTAAGTCAACTATTTACCTGCAGGGATGCAGCTTTAGTCATTGCAAGCAAAGAATCTCTAAGGTTACCTTACAGATCCTTACAGATTCTTTGTTGCAAGCGATCTCCAGACCGTTGTCTGGAGTGGGAACGATGTGGGAGGTCACATCCAGAAAGGTAAATAAATCTTGAGAAGCGGCTACAAGACGAAGCTACAAGGACATTTCACAATTGTTGAACAGTACTAGAACTTTATATTTGTGACTTAAAAGGCGCTGATATATAATAGAATTCGAAAAGCTTTGCTTCTAATTGCCACGTCGTAAACTGGTGATTCGAGATGTTGGGATATGTCACCAAGAATTGCGGAAGAATTCTTTTGTGAAATTTCTTCGACATTTTATGAGTGCTAAAGAATTTATCTTCTAATTAACATGAAAGAAAATTCTCTGTGTTAACGTTAGAAATGTTTATAATGGAATTTTTCAATAGTTTGGGGAGTTAAGATATGTTATTAACGCCTCCAGTGGAACTGTTATTCAGAACCTGGTTACCTGTGCCTAAGCACTATCCCTTGCAGAATAGATTAAACGTTTCGAATTATATCAAGAAATAGCCTTAACTAATATATAAATTAGATTGTTTTCTTTTCTTTTATACTATAATTTAACTTTTGTTTAATTTTAGATATTAAAGTGTTTAAGGGTATGTAATTCTCTATCATAACTGCTGGCCAGAAAGCAGTCGAGCTGGTGAGAGTGATCTGAAATGTAAAAGATTAGTGCATGTGAGAGCAAGTGATGTCAAGTGTAAGAATGATGGTGCTAAGAATCCGTTGCATAGGAGTTGCAGTGAAGTTGCGGGTATTATTACAAAAGACAGCAGCCTGAGAATTTTTAAAGGTGAGTAAAATGAAACTTAATCATTGGACTATACACAATAATTAGATAATAAAAATACAATAATATAATAAATGCAAAAGATATATACAAATATGCAAGTAACATTAGTGAGGGTGTCATTCACATGGTACAAGTAATACAGTAATAACAGTTACATAATCCATTTATTCAGGGTGGCAAGTAATCTATCCATACTGTTTAAGTCATTAAAGTCGTAAGCAATTTTGATAGCAGGATTGCTTAGGGTGAGTTGTTTTTCGTTAAATGTTTTGGAAGTTTTATAGTAAAATGATCTGAGTTCACAGACTCCCAGTTCTTATATACCATTCAAAAATCTGTCTAAGCGTGCTATTCTGAGCTACTTGCAATTTTTTTCTATAATTGTAACAGCATATGCCCATACAGGGCTTGCATAGCATAACAATGGACGCAGAATGGATTTATAACCATATGTTGTTTCGCAAGGGTTCTCAAACAATTTAAAATTTTGTACCACATGAATGCCAATAAATACATGCACCATCAAAATAGCATTTTCCAGTTTATAAACGATGCCTCCTAAATGAAGTTTTGCAATTTACGAATAAAACATTTTAAATTTACGTTATTTAATTACTTGTATGTCCTCAATACGTTAACGAATCGAATAAGCAAAACGTAATGAGAAAGGGAGAATTAAAATGGTCAAGAATAAATCTAACTCTGAAGTTGGATTTGGCGATAAGGTTGAACGAAAATAAATAATATTAAAAAAAGATTGTAACCAATCAAGGAAGAGTAAGCCTGACGTCACAAAAGATAAAATAGATGCCACGCTTTTGGCAGAGGCCGTGGTGTACATGGACCAAGGTCCATGGTGGAGTAAGCCTGACGTCACAAAAGCAACGTGACGTCACGACTTATCACGGCCGACATACAGCGTACGGATAAGACTGCGAAACACGTTATTAAACAAAATTACACTAACTTTGATAACAAATATGAACGCCCGCAGGTTCAAAGAAGTGTCTTTACGCATAATTTGCATAAAATGCCATCGAAATTTCAACTGATCTTTCAGGTTTTACCATTTGTATTATAGTTACCATTTACACATCTTCATATGCCTAGATTTTCTTAAAATTTGAAACAAGTCCTTGTGATTTTTCTATATACTAAATAGAAAATCCTGTATGTTAAGCATTAAAATTAGAACGAGAGACTTACAAATGTTCAAGAATGAATAGCTAACATGGAGATAACGCCGATTAGAATGTAAACAAAACCAACCCGAAGTTCGCTTATTGCAGAGGCCATGATAGGTCGTGACGCCATACCGTGGCGTTTCATGGCTTCATTTTCATTACACGGGACATATGGGGGGGGGAGAGATTACTCTGTCTATGCTAACGTACTTGAATCCAACGGTTTTAAATCGAATGATCGTAACAAGACAGTGTTCAGAAAAACCATATGTAAGTTGATAATGAAACATCAAAATTGTGAGTTTCTATATTGGGATTAAAATATGCATATATACATATATTTTCTAGGCTGGATAAAAAGAATTGTTAGATTACAAATTTCCATGATACTGCTCAAAATGTTCGGTAGTACGAAACGATTTTCATGCATTAGAATAAATAGTTAGTTTGGTTATTTTATTTATGTTATAACATACCGAAAATTTATTTCTCTTTCTGCTTGGAGCATCCAAGATATTATCAAGTTTAGTGAGTTTGTCAAGTGTACCATGTACGAAGTAAAGAAAGCATTGAAACAGCAAAAAAATTTCGAGTGTCATATTCCAGCGGAAATATCCATTTTGACCGTTACTGAATCCATTTTGACTATTTGACGTCTTTAGGTACAACCAGAAAAAATTCTTTGTTTTCAAAACGGATTTTAAATGGATTTTTTCCTTGGCGTCTGTATGTACGTATACTTCTATTTGCACCATAATCTAAAGCTATGATTAATATATATTATTCTTTTGATTCTCCTTTAATATTTGTTTATTTTATACCTAGTAGCTGAAATTATATTTGACTTTTCACTAACTGTTTTATGAATTTTATTACTTCAAATAACAGCAGCGACTGCAACACTAGAAGAAGGTATGTAAGCGTGACCTTGAGATGATCTAACTTACCTGATGGGAGGTGGGGTTCTTTCTGTTTCCGGTCGCTCGGCAATCCCACTGCCAAACGACTTTTGGCTTTCTGGAGGTACGCTTGCTGAGAATAGCTCTCAATCATTTCTAAGAAGGTTGGGCAGCGACGCTTCTGCCAAATTGTGGGAGGGATCGTCAGGGAAATGAGGCCCCTATCTGGGTAGGCTACTGTAGGGGGTGCGCCACACTCCGCAGGGTTCAGCATACTTCTAGGATAAAATAAAAATAAAAAATCATTAAATGTCCAAAGTATACAAAACAGCTTCCGTTAAAGAAAGACTCATACCGAATTCTTTTTTAAATATTTTGGCTTTTATTGCCACCAAATAATAATTAAAATTTGACAATGAGTTAAGAAGAAACATCGTTATTCTCAACTTGTTGCCAATAAGTAAAAAGAAAAAGTTGCAGAGCAGCTATAAGAATAATTCCAAAATAAAATATTAAAAAAAATTAAAGGTTTCAGATTTTAAATTACGTCCAAAGGCGGCTTTTCTTAAAATTTTGTGTGCTACCTTCATTTATTAAAAATCATGTTCTTCGCACTTAAATCATAAAATTCAGTTCCAGAGAAATATCGCAAAATAATTTTAAGATGAGTATATCTTTAGAATTTCCTATGCACAGTCTCGCGCGCTGGAGATAAAAATGTTTTTTCTGTACAGCGTTGCCACTACTCGCTTTGAAATCGTTGAATTAGTTAATAAAAATTCGTTGAAGTTTTACAAAATATGAAATCGATAATAAAACAAATACCAATTTTCAAATTTGGCCTTCCAGATGCACATATTCGTTATTCAAAATTTGATGGCTCTAGGTATTGTTTTATCATACTGCGAGAAACATACATACATTCATGCAGATTCTTCATTATTTAATTTCTTTAAATATAACACAGGGCCATAATATTTGGTGGCAACAATTTGAAAAGTGAAACACCACTTGTAGTGAATCGAAGCAAAATGCCAAAACGAAATTAATAGCCCTTCTGGGCAAATTGTCTCTTTGGGTTAATAAATAAATGAATAAAGATAAAATAAATAAATTAATGAAGATAAATAAATAAAGGAATGAATGAAGATAAAATAAAGGAATGAAAATAAATAAATAAATAAATAAATAAATGAAGATAAAATATAAATGAAAATAAAATAAATAAATGAAGAAGATAAATATATAATGAATGAAGATAAATATATAAATGAAAATAAATAAATGAATGAAGATAAAATAAATAAATGAATGAAGATAAAATATATAAATGAAAATAAAAGTATCTCTGATGAGGGAATGAAGTTACGTTCGTGATGTATATATAATTTAAAGCATATCAAGCCAATGTAGATTTATGCTGTTCTATTAATTTTTTAATTGATAAATGAATTTTAATGGATGGGATATTTACCAGAAAAATCGCAGATGGGGAACATTTGGGAGCTCTTCATTTGAAAAGTTGAGTAAATTATCGGGTGGGGCACAGAGATTAGGGAAACGGGATGTTGGCTGATATGGCTCGGATTGCCAAGCGGAAACCGAGTAGTCTGCTCTTCACCTGGCAGAGCGGAACACCTGCCCATAAAACAGCCGACGATAGTTTCCTGTTGTTCTATCCTCAACTCAGTGCTAGGATGTTTTCCTTTTGTAAGAGTTGTGACAGTGCAAAAAGTGTAACGAAAAATTAAACTCTGTATAATCAAAATATTATACTATGCAAATTTCGAATTATAATATAATACTTTGAAGACGATTTTATCGGTAAAATTAAGAATTAAAATGTGTAGAATGTTTTAAATTGCAAAATTCAAAAAAATATTTCGTTTCGCTTTGGAAATAAACGTAACGTCTACTGTTGCCAACTCCTGAAAATGATTATAAAACTTTTCTATTGAATAATGAATATCAAATTTTTGTAATAAACAAAATTTAAAGATATATTTATCTATTTATTTATTTTTCCCCTTCACCAGAAGGGTGGTTAGGCTCGATCCTCATTTTTCAAATAAACGGACACTGCAACGAAATGTTATCACCACGTATTATTTTTAAATAAATAATACAGAGAAAATTAAAAAAAAACAATGATTGTATATATAACAACAATATAACAAACAACAGCAACACAGAGAAATTAAAAACAACATTCTTACCAGGGATTCTGAAATTATGCTGCTTTTACAAACTTTTTATTTTGCTGTTGAATTTTATGTGGAACAAGTGTTAGAAAATGTTGTGTTTAATTAAAAAAGAACGTAGAAAGTTAGTAATAAAAGACCACTGCTTTTCATTTTTTCCTTGTTAATTTTTTGTCTTTTACATTACCTTTTTAAAAATTTTGTGAGATTGCTGCGGAATTTTATGTGGCGAATTGTGAAGAAAGTGGTGCTTAATAATAAAGTTAAAAAAAAAAAAAAAAATTGTGTCAACAGAAGGAGTCCAAGAGCAGACTGATAAACTGCGAACTGAGAGAGAGTATAAAAAACTTTAAAGTAAAACTCTCTCGTCTGAACTTATAATCTGACTTCATTCAGAATTTTTTTAAATATATTTTAAAATCAAACTCAGACTTATAATCTTTAAAAATACATCGTTTCAAAAGCTCCAACGTTTGTTTCTGAATTTTCACTTTAAACGTTAAATTGGTGTAAAAAGAAACATGTGAAATTAGTAGGGTGGGGTGGGAGAAGTTAGATTATCGTTTGACAACATTAGAGAAAATAAATATATAAAGATGTCTGCAGTTTATATATTATAAAAGAATTTCATCATAAGCGACAGGTGGAATTGGGGGGGGGAGCAATTTATGCTACGGGGTGCATGAAAAGTTAGAAACTTCTCGCCCCCTTACTTGTGAGATAACTAACTTAATGCTGTGTTTAGCAACGTGCTTTTCTTTCTAATATCGAAAATAAATTAAATATTTTATTCATCGTCAAATGGCAACAAGTCTATGTAGATGGCACCGATAGATCTAAAGTAAGAATAGATATTCGATTATATTTATTTCGTTTTGTTCATTGTTATTTATATATATTTAATTTTTTTTTCCATTTATTTATTTATTTTTTTTTTTTTGAGATATCAACGTACTTGTTTAACAACAACTCGGCTATTAACAGATATTTTTAGGAAAATATTTGAGCTTTCATTTTTAATAATTGCATCATTTTTAGTAGTAATGAGATTGGATCAAACAAAATTCCTGTAAATTAAATGTAATTTTACACCATCGGATAGAGCGGAAAATCTTGAAAGAAATGCGATATCACTCCCTTTGCTGTTATGATGGTACGAAAGAATAAATTTAGGCAGCACAAAGATGGCGCCGATTTTCTTTATTTTCATCTTACAGTTTTTAAAATTTAAAAATAAATATAAATATCTTTTGTCTTTTACGGTTTCAATCACATGCACGAAGAAAGTCATTTTTTGGACAATTCCAGATTAAAACTTCTCGGTATTAGCAGGCCTGTGGTTTATTTGTGTTTGCGACAAAGGATGTTGTAAGAGCTACTAAAACCCTCTTTATATGCGTAAGTTAAAAATATATATATAAATCAAAATTATAATATAAATTAGCAATACTCTTAATCCCTCCTCTTTTTTAAAAATAGTAATGCCTTTTTCTGCATTACGTAACAATGATGAAGACGGGAGTTAAAAGTCTATTATTAATTTATTATTTGAAAGATAAATATTTAATATTTTACCCATAGTTATATAGATGACGAAACGCGAATAGGGTAATTGAAGAGTTAGGTTTTTTTTGGGGGGGGGCAACTTCCCTTTGAAAAGATCTGTCTCCTGCATGCTCAACAATTATCCACTTTATGCAAATTAATATTTATTTTTTTTAATTTTAAAGGTTTTTTTTAAGGTAAATATTTGGGAATGTATTATGCTTGCTCTTTACTTACTTATGTTTATATTGCAAAATAGTTCGCAGCAATAATTAATCAATTTATTTGGTTTGCAACTGAATTTGCATAAAATTTTAATTTGCTTTATATGAATGAGATTATGATATTATATTTATTAATTGCACACACACACACACACATATATATATACATAATCAATTGTCGAAGTAAAAATTAGTAAATCACAAAAACGTGAGACCTAGTCGGTCAAAATTGGGCGCTGAGCTGCATAATAGATTGATTGCTTTGATGTTTTAAAGTTTAACTTTGAGGTTTTAAGACACGCAAATACGTCGGGAAAAGGGACAAATCTATTGAGACATCCTTAGTAGTAGATGAATTAGAAAATTGATTACAAGGAAGGCTGTTTTCAATCTCAGTGGGGTTTGTTCGACAAAACGTGTTTGCATGTTTTTGTGAGTTAATCAACTTAGGTGAGGGCTTTAAGCACTTTTCCCTTGATAAGTTCTGTTTGAAGCCCCCTCCCCCTTATGTACAATTTTTCTATTTTATGTAGTTTGGATAGGTTTTTCCACGTACATGTTTTGATTTAGATGATTTGACATTGTTTTACATGTAATATCAGGAATTAGATGGGATATTCTAATTTTCTCTACGGCTCTAGCTAGGTTTTTAACCTCTCCTTTTCTTATCAATTTATATATGATCAAGATATAATTGAATCATACATCAATACATCAAAATTGAAGCATAATAAATACATGGAAGTATATACATCAAAACTGAAGCAAAAACTAAATAACTCAATAAAACAGCTTAATGAAAATTCTTTGGTCTTTTTCAAGCAGTTCATAAAATATTATTAATTAAAGGCTATTAAAATGCAATAAAGCACAAAACAATTCTTTGCAATTATCTTAATTTTAATTAATCATCATGATATAATTTGCTCTTGTGTGACACTAAAACAAAAAATACTGTAAAAATAAATAGCATGAGAATTTTCGAAATAAGAAACCAGAAAAAAAGTTGGGTAAATAAATATTTAAATTAATTTTGAACCAAGGAAAATGCAGACGTGTTAATAAATGTTGTAAATCAAATACAACTATTGCAAATCAAAATTAAACATAGTTTAGAGCCAAAACTTTGAGGAAACGTACTTAAAAGTAAAATAAATAAGTTATTTTATGTACAAATTGAAGAAAAAACGAAAAAATCATGCAAAAAATTATAAAAAAGTATCGTAGGCTTGTAACCTAAAATAAAACGCATAAAAAGGGGCAGATGTCTAACATTGCAGAAAATTTTAAATTAAACTGAATTAATAT